AGCGTTCCTGTAGGTCAAACAATGGAGCATGATTGCTAGCAATGACAACAGCAGGAATTCGATTCCCAGGCAATGCATCAACTAATAAAATGTATGCCTTGAATGCAGTGTACATCAGTTTGGTAGAAAGCATCAGCCGTAAATGTAAATCTAGAGATTTGCTAGACTTTGTTTACTGGATTTGTTCACATGGTCATTCAAAACTGAAAAGGTGTTGATATTTATTTTAGAGCCCGACCAATATGGGTTTTTTGGGGCCGATACCGATATTTGGGAGTAAAAAAAAAGGCAGATATCGATATATCGGCCGATATTCTTTGTGTATGTTATATATATGTATATTATATATACTGTATATGTGTATACGGTACCAGTCAAAAGTTTGGACACTTTCCCATTCGTGTGTCCAAACATTTGACTGGTACTATATATAGAATACAGTATATGCATAAACAGAATATATATATATATATATATACATTTTTTGCAATGATCACTCAAATGTGGTGATCAAACACTTATAATGACGTGACAAAGATATGTAATGATGGAGGCAGGCCATTTAACAATAAACTTTATTCAAAATGAATCTGACATCAGTGCACTGAACAGTAAAGTTGAAGTTTATTCAACTTTAATTCAATTCCATTCAACTTTATTCCGTTGAAGTTTATTTCACTTTGGAACATTCATTCACGGATTTGCGCTATGGTCTTCACACACAGACGAAACTTACTAGAGAAGTGTGACATAATTTACCTCTGTAAATAAATATAAATTCACGTCTCGCGCACTTTAATGCCCTTTGAATGTAACGTGTACGTTCCCTTGGAACTGGAATCATGGCGGAATATCATGTGAAGTCCACTTCGCAGGGCACTTACGGTCGAATAAGACTACGGTTGAATGCTGCTGCCTGAACAAGAGACCTCCTTACTAAAGTGAAAGTGTTGGCTGGTGTCACTATTTCGCGAATGCGCCAGTGGATCTCCACCAAATTCAGGGGATCCCTTCAGCTCGAGGAGCCCTCTCGACCGCCACCCTCCGCGCGTCGGTAGCCCCCCGGGAGCGCTAGATCGGTCGGCGCCGGACCGCGAATTTAACCACCCGTAACTCCCGAACCCCAAGGGCTATCGAAGCAGGGGTGGTCTCATTCGAAAGAGGGCCTCGAGACGTACACTCGATTCACATTCGAGAGGGTTCCTCGAGCTGAAGGGATCCCCTGAATTTGGTGCGGATCCGCCGTTATGGAGATATGGCCGTTCAAAGTTTCAATGGTTGTCCATAGACTTAAGCTGTAAAGCGTTTCATCCAGGTCGCCAGTAGCAAACAATGGAGCGCCGTACATATAATATCTGCGTTATATGTTCTGTAAAAAAAAATTAATATTGGCGGCATATTCGCTGATACCGATATATCGGCGAATAATATCAGCTAAACGATATATCGGTCGGGCTCTAATTTATATTGACTGACATCGTAGCCATGATGAATTCTGCACATGCCAAACTACATTTTAGTGGTAGTCAGAAACAAATGTGTAAAACTGTAAAAAACTGTCGATTGTCAGTTCAATAGTCAACCATTGAACTAAAACAAGAGTTTTAAACTTGGCTGGTTGTGCGCAGTTTTAGAAAATATAAATGAGAAAAATAAATCAAAAATGAGGAAAAAACACTAAGATGACTTTTCATAACTACTCTGGTTTGCCTAACACCAAAATGTGTCATAGCCTATATTGAACTTTATTTTTTTAATAAAAGATCAAGGGAAATTTAAATTTTCATGATATGACCACTTGAAAAAGTACTCTAGAATCTTTTTTTTTTTGCTGACTGCGGAATATCTAAAGCATGTCCGCTTATTATCAAAGTGCTTTTTTCCACTCTGAATGCAAGTCAGCATCATTTAGATTTTCCAGATCCTGTTGTGCAAGTCCTTGGCGAAACAGGTCATGACTAAGGATAAGAAAAATCATCTGGCGGTCCGTAGGCTCTCTGAGCTCGTTCCTTTTGATCATGTTCATTAAACGTGGATTGCATGAGTCCTTAAGCTAGGTAGACAAGAGACACCGTACAAAGCGATGTTCAGCTTTCAGCCTTCATAAACAAGGTGGGGCGTGAACTCTCCAGTCCAAAGCCTAATTGAAAAGAAGTGGCTAATCTCAGCAGCATGTCAAACTGTCCTTTTCTTACCCACCATCCCTTTGAAGGTGGAGATGAGGTAAAATGTTATGCATACTGATAGACTCTAGCATCTCTGGAATTTTTTTCCCCCTCTTCTCCTTTGCTCCTCTTCATCTCTCATATACTAGGCCCTCAAGACTTCTTGGCTGCTGTGATATGAATTAAAGATGAATCTTTCTTTTCCCTCTATAACTTTCTTGCTCAGATACTCAGTGTCCTCTGATACTTTTTCTCCTTCAAAAATGGAATCGTGTTTGGCGTACTGGCAGAAATGAGTCAAGCCTCTATCTAGACTTGACTTGAAGGCAAGCATAACTATTACTATTGCTCATACTTGGGCTTAGGGATTTGAATGAACTCCTAACCCTAAATATTACACCTTGGTGTGTAGGCTAACTCATCTCGTACTACTTGTGCTACGGATGTGAATGATGGCTCAAATTGTGTGTTGTTGAGAAGAGTTGTGCTGTGTAGTTCAATTTAGTTCTGAAGAGAGAGCAAATTAATATTTGTAAGTTTTTTTCACACTTGCCATTTAACTCCAGTTAAACCAGCTAAGACCAGCTCCGATCAAACCACAAAACTACTATATCCTGGTTTAATATGTTGTTGTTTTTTCTTTAGAATGTCGCTATATAGCAGGGGTGGTAAACTCCAGTCCTGGAGAGCCGCAGGCCTGCAGAGTTCAGCTCTTACCCTAATTAAAACTCACCTGCCTGTAGCTTCCTAGTAACCGTTCAGACCTTGATTAGCTTGTTCAGGTGTGTTTGATTAGGGTTGACGCAAAACTCTGCAGGGCTGCGGCTCTCCAGGACCGACGTTCGCCAGCCCTGCTATATAGGTTTGGGGTAGATTTTTGTCTTGGGCCACCTAGCAGCCATATAACATTAAGCTAGGGTGACCATACGTGCCATTTTCCCAGGACGTGTCCTGGCCAGGATTTCTATATTGCCTAAAATATCTAGGTTTTGGCTTTGTTTGCGTGTGCAGACCGATCGGTGTATGACATCAAAATACCTCGAGAGCATTTTGAAAGGATAAGGAACCGTATGTATGGTATTTTGATGTCATACACCGATCGGTCTGCACACGCAAACAAAGCCAAAACCTAGATATTTTAGGCAATATAGAAATCCTGGCCAGGACGTGTCCTGGGAAAATGGCACGTATGGTCACCCTAATTAAGCTAAAAACTTTGAAAACTTTAGCAAATGTATATTAACACCCTGGCAACCACCCAGAATATCCTAGCAACTGCATGCCAACAAGTAAAAAAAAAAATAGAACTGACCATGTAGTAGGGCTGGACAATAATTCAATATCAATATGTATCGCGATATAATTTTTTTCAATAACGGTGATATGATTTTTAAACACATTTCCGATATTTCGATATACATTACCAGTGTTTCCCATACATTGATTTATTTGTGGCGTTTGACTTCGTTGAATAAACATGAGCACTGCACGTTTCTAAATCAAAACAAGTCGCGGGTGTTTTATATGAACGTATCTCTGAAGAGAACCGACTGTCTTCAGAATAGTTTAGATGGCATTTTTATCTGATAAAGTAGCGTTCATGTTTACAGCCATTACTGGTAGCAATAGTAATGCATTATGGGTTGAGTTCTGTATGGGATGCGCCACGCGTTTTCTGAAGAAAATGAGAATCTAGGTGTTATTGCATCAGATGATTCTTTATTTTCTCTCGGTTTTGTTCAGAGGTTGATAAATGAATGTAACAGCTGACGCCCGTGACTTTCGAGTGGTTTATTAAAGCGGTGTCTGTTTTCTCAGTTTCATCAGTAAAACCAGAAAGGCAACAGCTACAGGCACCATGCATAATTTAGCACCTAACTTCTTCACATCTCTATTACTTTTTATCAGCGCGCTCATATTTTCACACATGCTTTCTCTATCTCTTTCTGTTTCCCCACTTACCCTCTCCCTCTCTTGCCTTCTATCTCTCTCTCAAATCTTGATAATTCCGAGGAACACGAGAATGTGTTCTCATGTCATCTTGCGGCAGTCAGGATCGGCCAGTAAACAGTGAGTCAGACACCCAGAGGCTGACACAAACACCAGCAAAGGATTTTAATGATAACAGGAACTCTCATCTGGTGCACTTTGGTACGTTTTATCAGCCGCCATTCTTGTGTATGCCGCTCGTACGCTGGCGTTCTGACTTTTCTGAAGTAAACTCCAGTATTGCGTGTTTCTTGGTCTCAGACGCGTGTCTTTTATTGCACTGGACCAAAGCCTGGCAGTCTCACTCAAGCATCCTTCACTGTCTGTGTGAAGGTGGCAGAACTTTGAAGAACAAAAGAATGTGTTTGAAGACTATAGTCTTTGTGCTGCATGGTGATGTGCAGCAGAAGGTATTCTCTGTGGTGTTTTTCTGTTAACTTAACATTTGTCTTCTCGCTCTCTTTTCCCCCTCTCTTACTCCCTTTCTTTCTCTATATCTTTATCTTTCTTTCTCGATCACCCATCTGAATCACCTCCTCTCTCTGGTTTCCGCTAACACTGACTATCTTGCTTTGCCTTCTGACTCTCTTCCTTCCTTTTCATGTGTTACTCAACTTTCCATGCCCTTCTCCCTCTTCCTTACTGTCTTTTCCCGGATATTTGCTTCCTCCCCATAACTCTCTTCATGCACGTTGCCTCCACATTTCTGACTTTGCTGACTAACTTTTTTCCTTGTTGTTTACGTTCTCACCCTGTCCCTCCATTCTGAATTCTCTTTCTTCATGCATGCTTCTTTTCAACCTGCCCTCTCTCTCATTCTCTCTTCTTGATCTCTGTCTCTTTCAGCAGGTGAGGGGGTGCCATGCCAGCTGCTGCTCCCCTGTTGCTGCTCCTCGCCATCTTGTGGTGGCCTCTGGTACTGCCTCTGGCCCCCGGTCATCTTCAGAGCCCCCCTACATTCATCACCCTTAATGGCTCCCGCCTCAATCACCTCCTGCTCGACACCCATTCAGGCCACGTCTACGTGGGGGCGGTAAATGTGCTCTATCACCTCTCCCCAGACTTGCAGCTGCTCTCCTGGGGCAAAACAGGGCCTAAATTGGACAGCCCGGACTGCCTACCCCCCATTGACCCCACCGATTGCACCCAGGCGGAAACTACGGACAACACCAACAAGCTTCTGTTGCTGGAAGAGGTCAAAGAAAGGGAACCACTCAGTCTGATCGTGTGCGGGACGGTCCTGCAGGGCATCTGCGAGAAGCGAAGCTTAGAGAACGTCTCTCAGGTGCTGTACAAGACCGACAACCCCGTGGACACACAGTATGTGGCAGCAAACGACCCTCGAGTGTCCACGGTTGGTGTGGTGGTGGAGCAGAAAGGTGTTCTGCTTATGCTTGTTGGGCGGGGCTACACCAGTAAAGGACCTGGTGGGGTCCCGCCAATCACGATGCGACGCTTAACCCCAGTTGCCCGACACTCTGCACCAGCATTTTCCCATGAAGAACTTGGAAAACTGGTTGTCGGTAGCTACTCTGAATACAACAACCACTTCGTGAAGGCTTTTTCACACAACAACTTTGTCTATTTTGTGTTCTCTCGGCGCGACGTGTGGGGCAAACGAGAGTATCGGACGTATGTTTCAAGACTCTGTGCAGGAGACCCCAATTTCTACTCTTATGTGGAGGTGCCGCTTTCCTGCGGTGAAGGATATAATCTGGCTCAGGCGGCTGTACTTGACTATCACCGTGAACAACCCACGCTGTTTGTGGCTATGGCCATGGGGCAGGCGTCGACTCCCACACCCACAGACCGGTCGGCTCTTTGTGTGTACAAGGTGGAGGAGCTGGATAAAGCCCTGCATGGCGCCCAGCTACTGTGTTATACACAGGAGGGCAAAGATGCCAACAACAAGGAGAAGGCATATATAGAGTACGAAGTGTCCTCCAATTGTCTGAAGCTCCCGCAGGTAAGTTGTTGGCCTGTGTTTGTAGTCATTCCTAAAAGAGGATTACAACCCACGGAAATTCATCATGTTGTTCTCAAAGGGCCTTTGATGTGCCAACTGATCTAACAAAAATGAAATTTTGCTCTTTTTTTTTCCAGGCTGTAGTTCCCTATACCCCTTCCACCATTCACAATCAGTTCTGCTTTAGACTCCCCAAATAACAGCATAATTCCAACATTAGCCAATATGAGAGTGGTTTACACTGTTTTTTTTGGCACTTATGTATCCGCTTATATTACCTGTCTCAGGCAACCCACCTACCTCAATATGGCTTCAAAAGACTTTCCTTTAGCGGGCGGAGGGAGTGGCTCCATGAATGTAGCGGCTTTTTAATGAGGGTTAAATCCACGGCTAAAGAACAATAAGTAGGAATATATGGCTAGGGGAAGCCACAAGATATCACCCCATTAGCCGGGTCGTGTAAGACAGCATGGTGTGTGGTTTCTTGGCGACAGATCAGGGTCAGCTGGGGCTTTTTTGCGACAGGGGTGCAAGTCTGGGCGAGTGGCAGCTGCCTCAGTGCTGACACAGATTAGCATCCAGCTGCCTGCGCCAGTGCTAATCCGCACGGCATAACAAATGCAGCGGTAACTCCCAGATTTCTGCATGTTACAGGGCTGATTCTAAATCTCTGCTCTGAGTATTTACGTTTTACGTTTATGCAACCGAAAGTTTATTTGCCTGTAATAGCCATTTAGCATAACAAAACTAGTAGTAGCGAATAGGGTTTTTATACTGTAATTTTGTGTATACTGTGGTTTGTGTAGTTTATGGTTTGTTTTAAGTGTGACAAATGAGTACTGGAGAATTTCTAAGAGCGTAATCTAAAGAGGTTTTGTTTGAGAGTGAAAGAAGGGGAGGGAAGGAGGTACAGGGACTAATGGAGATTGGGTAATGTTCTATTCATATGTCTGTTGCAGTGTGGAAGGGGGTATTGTGTATTAGTATGAGCTTGGGAATGAAAAGGAGTGGTGTCTGTGTGTGTGTAGCCTCTGGGAGGTGGTTAAATCCAGCTTAACACCGCAGCTGGTTTGAGTTCTGCTGACCCACATCCTCTCTGAGCTCACTGCCCCAGTGACCAACACACACAGAAGCCCACTGAACCTCTGACCTCAAAGACACAATAATAGGCCCTTTCGCACCGCTTTAGTTCCAGAACTAAACGTACGGTACTAAAGTACTGGGACGATTTTGCGCGAACTATTTCCCAGTACCATTTAAAGGGTTGCATTCGCACCAAGAGTGTGTACTAAGAAGTGACGTAAGCAGGTCGACAGCGATGTCATTTGTGCGCTGCGTTCAACAATGTAAACAAAGAACAACGTTAACAACAGGAGGATGGAGGACGCTGTGATCGGAGCTGTGATTTTGTTGTCCACTTTTAATGTGTATGTTTCTAGGGCTGCACGATAAATCGAAATCGCGATTCGACAGAAGCTGCAATTGTCATGCGTATCTTTCAGTGAAGCACGGTTCTGTGATCAGCAGTAAATCTCCACCCAAAGGCTAGAGGGCGCTCTCGCGCTGAAACCCCAAATATGCCCCGAAGAAGTAAACCGAAGATTCAACTGCTTTGATTGATTCAACGTGACTAATAAACACACGACTACGGCAATATGCGGTTTATCTGAGTTTTTATTATTTTCATTAAAATAAAGTATATTTATAATGCAATGCCTTTATCACTGCTTAAATACTATGAAATATGTTGCGTGCCTTATTCTGTGTAAGAAGCCACATCATCTCACAGAAGGATTTATTTCAAACACTCGACTGACATTATGAAGTGAGTTTGGAGTAAAAATATGTTATTAAATGTGGTATTTTCACATGCTTTCAGATGGAGCAGCATTTACTTCACAGAGACGTAGTTCACTGAGAAGCTATGCAAACAGCTGTCATTATCGTGCAATAAAATCGTCTGCGAATATTTTTATTTTTTTGCGTAACTTGTCAGTGAACTACAGCTCTGTGTAGTAAATTCTGCTCCATCTGAAAGCACGTGATGATGATTTTCTGCTGATTACAGAACCGGCTTTACTAACAAATTGCGCATGACAATCGCATTCGATTAATCGTGCAGCCCTATATGTTTCACTGTATCTAATATATGACTTCTGTCTGTTAGTGAGCTTGACATAAAAGTTATATTATGCAAATCAGTTTTAGACCATGTCACCATGTACATAATCATTTAAACACTTACTTTATACTGTTCCAAAGATGTGACTTAGTGTTTATGAAGCTTGTACATTATTGGTTGTTTTTTCCCCAAGCATTGAAATTTATGGGGACAACAGACCGGAATGACTTAAATTTTGGTCTGATCCTCACACAACATTATCATATTTAGAAGACTTGTAATATAGGACGACTCGTATTGATTACTTTTATCGTACTTTCATGGTCATTTTGAATGCTCCACTCTTTAGTTAATTTAATTGCATGGAAAAAAAGCTAAATTACCATTACCATTGTGTATGAAATGTGCTATATACAGTAAATAAACTTGCCTTGCCTTATGTGCACAATATCCTGGAAGGGGTATTAAGGAAGTTCTTATTCCATTTTGACTTCACGGACATGATGTTCATGTTGCAAATTTAACCGTTATAGCCATCTCAATAATTTATAGGAAGTACTGCAGAATGGATGGCTATTATCTTGTTTCCAAAGCAGTAGGTGTGTATGATGTTTGTATATTTGACCTTCTTTGACTTCAGTTGTGTGCCACTATTCCGCTGTCCTTTGTGGCCCCTCCCCTTGGTCTGTTAGCTGAGGTATTGTGTCTGTCTGTCCACTGACAGCTGCAATTCCAGAATAGCATTAGGTCAGAACACAGACCCACAGCTGGCTCCAGTGAGAGTGCATCTAAAAATCACTCCCAGCCATGGATAGATGATGGGTTGAGTTTGACAGACACCATAATAAAAGCAGCTTAGCTTTTTTAGTATTGATTTTTTTTATGCACACAGCAAGGACAGGATGTTTCTGGCACTATCCAAATGTTCATAGTTGACTTTGGAAACTTTGTACTCATCCAGTTTTTAGAGCTCCGATTTAATATTCTACTTGCATTTTGGACATTAATTGTTCATATGTCATCTCTCAGGGTTTTTGTCTCAGTATTGTAAGCATGTGGGCACACAGCTGTCTGTCTGTGTGATTAGCTCGAACCTCATTATTTCCAAAACATTTAACATTCATTAATTCCAAAATTGTTTATACAGTATATATATCGTTTGACTGAATTCCAAGTACAGCCAAGTTGCATATATTAGAAATTTGCATGCCATTGCATGTAAACTACCAGTCAAAAGTATGGGCACACCTACTTGTTATTTATTGTTAAGATTCCATATGCTTTTTAAAATTATTGAAGGAGTAATGTGTGCTGGGAATTTACTGGCAGCTTTTCTTTCACTTTACAGTCAAACTTGTCTAATAAATGTACAGTTTTATATTCAAAACTGTGTCATGAATTCAAACATAAGCATTTAAATCAGATGGTTTTGAAGATTCAAGTGTCCAGACTTTTGACTGGTTGTGTGGTTTAATGTACTGCAACTCTCTCCCAATAATTTTTTCCCTACTGTCACTGTCAGTAAAGGTAGGCAGAAATGGAGTGCTCTGTGCAGTAAATAAAGTTGTCAGCGGTGGCGTATAATCAGTTTATGGGTTGGGAATCGAGAATGGGTGCTTATTCAGAACCGGTATGTATAAGTATTCTGGAACTGAGTGGTTTTCATGACATTCGGCTCCGTTTACAGTCTGCATTCTTCCACTAAAGCAGACAGAGCACCGTACTAAAACCGTACTGACAGTGTTTTCATGCACCATTGCTACACCACTATTGATTCTAAAGTGCCAAAATATCACATTTTAGCCAAGCTGTGAGGTTGCCGCTTGAATTTAATATGAAGAATTCCAGACTGTTCCCATCCCTAATTACTTTCCATTTGCTATAATCATGAACTGTGATGATAAATATATTTGATGATGGATATAGGTAATGTAATGTTTTTGGGGTTGTGCAGGACTCTCTGAATGAGTACCCATGTGGAGGTGAACACACACCCAGTCCCATCGCCAGCGCCATTGCTCTCGAGGCCACACCCGCTTTCACCTGGACTCCTCTCATCACTGCTGTCACAACAGCAACTGAAGTTGGCCATACCATAGTACTGCTAGGAGACAAAAATGGAAGGCTGCACAAGGTATGACTTACTGTTTTTTCATCTTGCATCATGCTTTAATGGCACTAAACCTGCGATTGTTGTGTTAGCAGCACAAATCCTTAACCATTAAAGACCCACCATCCATCACTGAAGCATAATGGGAAAAATCAGCATGAACAACTGAATTTTAAAAGCTGTTTGCCATCATTAAAGACTCCTTTATTGAAAAGCAAACACATGGAGTAATCATAATCTGTCATTAAGCACTAACACTCCAGTAATGAGCAAACCACCCTACAGCATGGTAATATTATGTTATTAAAATCGGTTGGTTCAGTCAGAGTTCAGATAGTGTGTTACATTATTTATCAGGACAAAGTTTTGGGGAGGTATTATAGTGAGTTTTTGCTGCCAAAATTAGATTGCAGTTTGGACACTTTTGTATCATTTGTTTGAGGCCTACGGTTCAAGGCCACTGGAATTGAGACAGTGTATTTGAAGATCACCTTTTAAAGCAGAAAAACATAAGATGTCACAGTTAGCCTGAACTTGGATTTAAGCTGCTATTTAAAGGCAAATGGACAAGAGAGTGCATGCATGTCTTAAGCTCCTGTGATCTTAGAGGTGGAACAGTGTAGAATTAATTTTATGAGTCATGGAAGGTGAAAAGAAATGCATAATGAGCAACCCTTATACTTGACAAGCTAGGATTTGGTTTCAGTTAAAGTAATAGTTCACCCATCATTCCAAAGCCTGTATTACTTTATTCCTTCTGTGGAAAAGAACAACAGTTTGAAGAACCTTCACGCAGATGTTTTTTATATGACTACAGATCTGTCGAGCACAATAAAAGTGCTCCATATGACCAAAAATAAGTTCAGGTTCAGAAATAGTAATTGATGCCAAGTTACACAGTTCAACATTTTAGTAAATAACAGCTATAGGCTTCAGAAGACTTGGAATAAAATGCAAAAGGATGACTAAATAATGTTTGCGTTGTTATTTTTTTGGATGAAGTATTCCTTTAAGATCCTTCAGGCAAAAGATCCTTGTGCAACATTCATTCAGACTTGGAAAACACATTCAGTTCGCTCTATCACGGTATATTTTTGCCATTTTTAGGGGTGAATATATTTTGATCTGCCCATTTTGCCTACTTTCAATCTGGGAATGTGGGGTATTTACGGCTCGTGGCTGGCCCAGTCTGGCCCGGAGGTGGTGTGATTGTGTGTGTGTGTGTGTGTGCATACAGGAGGGAGTGTGTGTGTGTGTGTTTGTGTGCGAGCGGCTGCCTCATCAGCATGAGAGGACATGTTCTGAATGCTTATTGCAAGCGCCTTGGGGAGAACCGATCCCAAGGGAGCCGGTCACATGAGGTGCGCTCTGGGTCTGCTGATAGGGGTGGTGGGAGCCGCACTTGGAGTTTTTCATCTTTCAATCCCCTCTGGTGCTGTATGAAATATTAACGGCGAAACTCTGAAACAGCAGATTGTTTACCGCCCAAAATTCTCCTCAGGCAGAACTTATCACAGACAGCCCACGGTATCACTTCCCCTGCCTGCAAGATGCTGAAAAACCCACCGGCCTGCTGAGATTGCAACTCGCTGGAGCTTTGTGGCCAACGTGTGTGTCTTTTGTATATGCATATGTATGTGAAAGCATTGATTAGCGATGCTTGCTTTTGTTCATGCTTTTGAATAAACTGCTAATTGTAAGTATTGAACTTGAGAGCATAATGTGCCCTGCAGCGTTGAGTGATACAGACATGAGTGATACCTTCAATCATGTGCTTTGTTTTGGAAAGTTGTGCTTCATGTGCCTTTATTTTTATTGCAGGTGTTCTTGCATGCAAATGGTACCGGTACCAAATATGACACAGTGGAGGTGGATGCTGAGAGTCCCATTAACGCTGACCTGCTGTTGGACTTCACCAAACAGAACGTCTACATATTAACTGAAAGAAAGGTACAAGAGACAAACAACTTCCTTTCAACTGCCAGCAACTGAAACAAACTACAGCTGTTACATGCATGCTCTCAAAGGAGAGATTACACGTTTACTTTGACAAACATCATTTGAATGACAGATTTTTTCACGAGATGAAAGTCTGGTTTTGTTTTTTGCATTGTCAAGTAATTGCCGGTGGATTCATCTTGGCAGCCAATCAGAATCGGAGATTGTTTTCACACTGTTCGCTCATGCAAAAGTTGCGTCCTCTTGCGTTTTATCAGTTTGCAATGCGAGAGCGGTGCTCAGGGCTTCTGATTTGTGTGTGTGTGTTTCAGGTTACAAAGCTCCATGTCGCTCAGTGTGAGAAGCATTTAGACTGCCACTCCTGTCTGTCTAATAGAGATCCCTACTGCGGCTGGTGTTCGCTGGAGGGCAGGTACTTGAGCTCACCTGACTGCTGTTACACATCACTGCCTGCTCTTTCAACACTCCCTTCCCATCAGGCCGCACCCCTCGCTTTATATAAACATCGCATTTTATCATATGGAGATCATTTACATAGATCATTTTAGATATTCATAATTTCTTCAACGACTTCTGCTTCCACAGAACAGCAGTTGCATTACCGGTTCAACTATTTTGGGTTATTTATTAACACTTTTTGTTATGGGATTGTTCTATGGATTATTATGAGTCCATAATTTAATACTACACTACCATTCAAAGGTTTGGGGTCGGTAAGAAATTAATACTTTTATTCAGCAAGGTTGCATTAAAGGGCACCTATTATGCCCCTTTTTGCAATATGTAATATAAGTCTCAGGTGTCCCCAGAATGTGTCTGTGAAGTTTCAGCTCAAAATACCCCACAGAGCATTTTTTTATATAATTTTGAAAATGCCTATTTTGAGTGGAAGCAGAAAAACGCTGTATTAGAGCATGTCTCTTTAAATGCAAATGAGCTGCTGCTCCCCGGCCTCTTTTCTAGAATAGGGCTGTACCTTTACAGCTGGTAACTGCTAAAAAAACATCTGTTTGGTTTTGATTATCATGTCTATCGCGCTGAAATCACGGCATTTAAAGCCATATTAGTTAGATATTCATAATTTCTTCAACGACTTCTGCTTCCACAGAACAGCAGTTGCATTACCGGTTCAACTATTTTGGGTTATTTATTAACACTTTTTGTTATGGGATTGTTCTATGGATTATTATGAGTCCATAATTTAATACTACACTACCATTCAAAGGTTTGGGGTCGGTAAGAAATTAATACTTTTATTCAGCAAGGTTGCATTAAAGGGCACCTATTATGCCCCTTTTTGCAATATGTAATATAAGTCTCAGGTGTCCCCAGAATGTGTCTGTGAAGTTTCAGCTCAAAATACCCCACAGAGCATTTTTTTATATAATTTTGAAAATGCCTATTTTGAGTGGAAGCAGAAAAACGCTGTATTAGAGCATGTCTCTTTAAATGCAAATGAGCTGCTGCTCCCCGGCCTCTTTTCTAGAATAGGGCTGTACCTTTACAGCTGGTAACTGCTAAAAAAACATCTGTTTGGTTTTGATTATCATGTCTATCGCGCTGAAATCACGCATTTTAAAGCCATATTAGTTTAGACTTCTAATAGATGGTTTTCTGAGCGCAGACATCCGAAGCACGCGTATAGAAGGTACTAAGTTCTCTCACACACGAGTTTTGTTAAAAACACACACAAGTTACAAAAACACAGTCGATTATGATTGTGAAGGTAAACATCTGGGAAAGAAATCGCATGTTTATATTAGATCTGTGTATTAAGTGACATCAGCATGATCTACAGTACCTATACTGCTGTCTATGCTATTAATATGACCCAAAGAATAAAATAAAAGCAGAGAATCACTTACTGCTCTGGACTGAATAACGTCTATAGCCTTAATAAGAAGACATTTCTTACGTGAAGATAAACATGGCGGATTGTGTGCGGCTCACTCAGGGCGGGGTCTCTGCTAGCTTATGGCAGTGTCAATCAACAATCGTGGGTGGGGCTGGTAAATTGTGATGTCACACTTTACGGATTCTGTGATTGGCTTGCTCTGAGACGCTGTTAATGATATATGAAGATTTTGAAAAAAGAGTGGGTGGATTTTTATCATTATAGGGTGGTTGTGTACACACACTGCCAACACACATTTATGTCCAAACAACATGTGAAAGTGTATTTTGCATAATAGGTGCCCTTTAAATTGATTAAAAGTGACAGTAAAAATATTTATAATTTTACAAATGATTTTCACTTCAAAATTAATTATTTTGAACATTCTATTCTTTAAAGAATCCTGAAAAAAAATGCGTCACAGTTTCCACAAAAATATTAAGCAGCACAGCTGTTTTCAACATTGATAATAATAAGAAATCTTTCTTGAGAAAAAAATGAGCATATTAGAATGATTTCTGAAGGATCATGTGACACTGAAGATTGGAGTAATGATGCTGAAAATGCAGCTTTGCATCACTGGAATAAATTACATTTATTACAGAAAACGGTTGTTTTAAATTGTAATGTATTTCACAATATTACTGTTTTTATTGTATCTTTAATTAAATAAATGCAGTCTTGATGACAATAAGAGACCTCTTTCAAAAACATCTTACTGAC